TCTAAACACCTCCTGCGACCTTCACCAGATCGTCGGTCCACCTAGTCCGTCACTAGTCTAGTCTACCCACACTACATCTTAAAACCCATGGTCGCCAGTCGCCACTCGAGCAGAGAACTTTTCTGCCCCATCATTATTATCTTCAAAAGCTTATTTTTATTAAACGTTACCATTGATCTCTTAAAACGCAGTGCAGTTAATTTTTATTCTCAGACAGAATAGGCAAGTTAGATAAATCGATATTTTGGGGTATTTGAGTCTAAGAATTACCAGTACGTTGCAAATTGCAGGTTAGTGCAAATACATATTAAATATACAATCGGTCTGAGTGCCTATTACAGCCAACGCAATGACTTCGGCGCACGTCGCGCTTGATCAATGGCAGACACCACCCAAACCAAACAACAATAAACGTGGGCTATTTCTAGACCCAACATTAACCAAGAACTGGATATCGACGACTGATATCTTTGTAATGAAAGATAATTACAATAGATCTTCAGGTAAAATGAGGAAAATTTTACTGAAGTATTCACCTGATCCGCTTATTATGTCTTTAATTTTCCTTGCTTACTAATTTTAACTGGCGAGAGACCCAAGGGAGTCTAGCCACTGAAGATACCAGTTTAAAATAGCTACCGCAGTTTCTGTGGATTTGGTCTGTCACAGAAAACATACGATTTTAAGAAGTTTATGACACCAAACTTTCATGTTTTGCAAATAGCCTTTCCCTCAAGCTCAACACTGAACCTAACTACCTATAATAGTAAAATGACACAAATAAACATTAAAACCACATTTGCTATGGATGTGCATTCGTTATATATTTTTTTTCATTTAACTCTACATTTTGTGTTTTTACATGTTATCTATTTTTACTGCAAATAGGTGACTTCCCTAAATAATTTCAAGTTAGCAGAGCAATATTCTCATAAAAGGGATTAGGACGGCAATTAAAAATACGTCGGCTGTACGCAGAATATAAATCTCTCCGCACTCCTTTATAGTTCGCCGGATAAATGGCTTGACTGCCAATGATTTTATAACGCCTTTGATGCTGGATTATGTTTACTTGATAAAAATTGTAACACTCATTCAAACGATTCCAACAACATCTCTGAACCCCAAAAAATAACCTCCGATTCACACGAGCGCGGAAAGAATTCATTCGGTTATTTTTATAAATGTCATTTCCCCGTAGTATTCTTGCCCTTGAAATCTCGCCAAATAATAATAATAAATATGTAAATTAACTGCTGTAAAAATAAACGTTTTTCGAAATTTTATCATAGACACAGATATTACCTTCACTTCCATGCAAAATCTTCAGCGGATGTGGAACCAGACTGAACCAGACACTTGTGAAAACAAACTAATCGCTTTGGAGACACACGTCCGAACCGATTTAATCGATCCGGTCAAACAATATCACTAAACACCACTGGCAGTTTACTAAAAACACAAACAATTGCATAAAAAGAATGCAATTCGAACGCGGCGATTCGAAATTCAAAGCGGTGTCACTCGCGGTCGCTTGGGCGGGAAATTCAGAGGGCGGACCGCCCGGCGCACGCGCGTTTGCCACTGAAACTGGCGGTTACGTGCCAAGCGTCGCCTGCGCTACGTCACCGTGGCCAACACGTTGGCCCAACACGCCAATACGCCAACGTCCGCGTCGAACGATTTCAGTACGTACTCGCATGTTTACATTTCAGTAAATGGTCAGTGTCTTTTAAATTGGCCGTCTTCTTCGAATTCGCAGCCAATGTGCGGCCGAACGTTTACCGGAACATAAAATAGTGTTATTTTCATGTTACGGTCGTCTTATAATACTGCGATATCGATGCTAAACAAAGTTTAAGTGCTCCACCGAAGGCTCGAAACGAATCTGGAGTGAGGACATTACGGCACTTCATAGATTGAGATGTGCACTATATTTTTGTCGACACGTCATCAACTTTTCACATCTTCCTGTTTCGTAATAAATAATGGCTCTCATGATAGTGTTTGTTAGAAATCTCCACGTAATTTTAATGAAATTTAAAAATCTGATGGACGTAAGGGACGTGTAGTGGAAAATTTTCCTAGATGTAACGATGTTATATTTTTTATTTGGTTACATCGTGTTTTTTTTTACCTTTTTTAAATCTTCACCAATACCTAATGGCAAAAAACTAAAATTACATTTAAATCAAGAACAGTTCTGTACTGAGTACTGTTATTCTAAGCTGTATGCGTACGAACATAAATTTTCGGAAAATCATCATAATAAAAGTAATTAGACAAGTTTCTTCCTTGAAGAGGGCACGCAGGAAGATTCCTTGAAACCCAATGAACTTGAAACTGTCCCGAAGCTTTGTCCCACGAGCGCGTGCGCACATTTATCACACCACCTCATTTAGAATGATTTAGAATCGTTCTTCAGAAACGAATTGTTAATTTGCGCTTCACCGCAACATCTTACAAACTACACTAAATATACAATTCTAGGAATTGCAAAAATATATAAAGACGAAGAAAGAAGGAAGATCAGTTGCCTTACACCTTTTGCGGGGTTTGAAGCCAACAATCTTCCTTTGACTTAGAACTAGACTCTAGCTGTGCTACTCTAGTGTAACGACTCCTAGGTTTGGCTCATAATTTACAATATACAAATTAGTTACTTCACCCTCAATATAAACAAGGCTTTATTATGAAACTTTTAGCCTTTCAGAATATTAACTAGAGCGCGAACCCTCCATCGTTTGGTTACAACAAAAAAAAGTTCAAATCCGTGATGGATTGGATGACCTGTTAATGCTAAAACCTGTGCTAAAACGCAGTTATTCACCGTAGATAATTGCTTCTAAATGAATGGTCACTATAAATGTTATTAATATCTGTTAGAATTAATATCTGGTACTTAGATGATATCAATTTACTTGTCCAGGTTAATATAAAGTAATACAGCCAATAACAGTTATCTAATTAGTAACCGTGTACGATTACGTGTTAGCGCTGTAAGTGATCGTGTGTTCCTCTGACAGGGCGGCTGAAAACCCGCTGGACAAAACTGTCGCACTCAGATAATTAATTCATAATTCACTCACGAAAACGTAGGTAAGCGTGGCTCCATTGTGTCGCGATAAGTTTTCGACTCGTAGAAAACGTTTCTGTCAGATAGATTTTATAAGAGAGAGCGAATCCCTACAACATTGCTTAGCATCCAAGCCCGGCCGGAAAGTCCTCATAGCACCAGCACACGTCTTCATAGCACAAGCCTTGGTAATATTTAAGCATACCTACTTAGCACATAGCTTTACAGTGCCTGGTATGTTGACGGTGGAACTGCAAATTGTCATTCAGACACAAAACATCCACATGGGCCTCCCCAATGATTTCCATTATGACTGCTAATTATGTAGAAGCCCAACAAACCAAATTAGAAAGCTCTCCTAAGCACTCTTTGTTGGATATCACAACATATTCCGAGATCGCCATACGATCCCAAATTAGCCAGTGACAAGTGCGAGGCCGTCACGTGCAGTCTGACGAATCCCCAAAACAAACAGTTAATGGACGCTACATAACAATGTGCATAAATAAACAAAAAAGTCGGCTGACAATGGAAATGCGCTTGGCACGGGGCCAGCGTCACCAGAGACGGGGAAACGAAGACGTGTGTGGCCCTTTGTACACCAGACAAAGCAGTGGCAGAAGAGCCATGTTGCTGTGACAAATACAATGTTCTTGTGCTTGTGTAATTAAACAAATAAGCACCTATTTCATTGCTGAGGCATACCCATCCCAACATAGGTAGATCCNAAAATACAGTATTCATTCTAATTTTTTGTAGTTTTTTTTGGCATCTTCAACAAAAATTGTGCGCCATGTCCATTGCATCTTGGCTAACTAGGTAAACTTTCACTTACCAAAGTACTTGGAGCTTAAAAAGTCTTCCGCGTAAATTATTTGAAGCGATCCACTTGACTGGTGAGCCCCCATAAACTTTCACTTTCACAAAGACCTGCTGCTACTAGGAGTCAGATTTTAACAATGAATCACCAATTATTCATAATTTTCACTTTTTATAAAATGTTAAGCGACACGAAACGGACAGATAGGAGATTTCAACAGAATAGTAGAATCCGTGGTAGAATCGCGCGTCATTGCGGCCGCAAGTGACGCTTAATTCAAAATTCGAACCACGCCTGTATTTGCGTTCCAAAATCAAATGCGTTTGCGCATGTTGTGTTGACTTTGATTGAGACAATCTAACTTTTTTTTCATGGAGCATACTAAAAAAATAGCCATTAAATTTATAGAATAAGTTATTAAACTCTTCTATTTACTCTGTGAGCTGTGGCGGTTTCCTCACTTCGCACCCGGAGCAATGTATCTCGTTCTGATCTTAGCAGAGTGATTTTTCTGGGAAATGCATAATTTACAAGCTCTTTATTGGGCTGGTGCAGATACATATTTTTTCTTCCGATCTTAGTTTTGCATTTGGGTTAATTTTGCTTCAAGGAAAATATTTTGTGAATGAGATTTTTCCATCTTTAGGGAATATGAATGCGCAGCACGTGTTGTTTTGTAAGAGAAAATGTACACGTTTGATCTTGTAATAAATTTAGATCTGCTCATAAATCTTAAGTTCTTGAATACCTCAAAATGTTTTAATGCCGAATTAATTAAAGTTTTCCTCCATCATTCATCATAAAACGATAAAAACAAGACATTATTATTTACTCTACTAAACAGTAAGAACCAACTTTCAACAGAATCAAAAAATATTATTACCAATAAATTCTGTCCATGGTTTTATGAACAATTGTTACGGAAATGTAAAATGGAAACTCTATAGGGCTGGGTTGCACCAAATCTATCAAACTCCATACATAAAGCACCGGTTATCGTCATAGTTCCCGTTAAAGTTAGGCGACTACGCCGCCCTACGATTAAATCTAAGGACATAAATGGTCAGGAGGAAAGAAACCAAAATTTACAAACAGGCACTCAAACATTTATTCCAAATTGACTCTTACAATCTTCAGTAAGTCTATCCCTGGAGCTCCATCCAGCTCTGGTTGCCTGGTACCCTCGAACGGGTGGGCAGCCATTGTGGGCCTGGTAATGTGGTGGTGTGACTTTCAAAAGCTTTAGTAGTCTTCTGAAAGTTAGTACAGTCTCTCCCCATCGTGAGGAGCTCCGTCCTGCTCTGTTTGCCTGGTATCTTCGGACGGGAGCCCCCAGCGGGTTGGCAGCTATTGTGGGTGCGGTAGAGAAGGATTCTGTCACTATTCTTCAAGTTAGTACAGTCTCTCCCCATTGTAAGGAGCTCCATCCAGCTCTGGGTGCCTGGTACCCTCGGGGCCGGCAGCAGTTGTAGGCATGGTAACTAGTGTGGGATGAGGTCACATTTATTCTAAATTGACTTTCAAAAGCGTTAGTAAAGTCTCTCCCCATCGTAAGGAGCCCCATCCAGCTATGGTTGCCTGGTACCCTCGGACGGGTGGGCAGCCATTGTGGGCGTGGTAATGTGGTGGTGTGACTTTCAAAAGCTTTAGTAGTCTTCTGAAAGTTAGTACAGTCTCTCCCCATCGTAAGGAGGTCCATCCAGCTCTGGATGCCTGGTACCCTCGGACGGGAGCCCCCAGGTTGGCAGCTATTATGGGTGCGGTATCGAAGGATGCTGTCACTATTCTTCAAGTTAGTACAGTCTCTTGCCATCGTATGGAGCTCCATCCAGCTCTGGTTGCCAGGTACCCTCGGGGCCGGCAGCAGTTGTAGGCATGGTAACTAGTGTGGGATGAGGTCACATTTATTCTGAATTGACTTTCAAAAGCTTTAGTAAAGTCTCTCGCCATCGTAAGGAGCTCCATCCAGCTCTGGTTGCCTGGTACCCTCGGGCGGGAGCCCCCAACGGGGCCGGCAGCCGTTGTGGGCGTGGTAGTGTGGGATGCGGTCACATTTATTCTGAACTGACTTTCAAAACCTTTAGTAAAGTCTCTCCCCATCGTAAGGAGCTCCATCCAGCTCTGGTTGCCTGGTACCCTCGGGCGGGAGTCCCCAGCGAGGCCGGCAGCTGTTGTGGGCGTGGTAGTGTGGGATGGTTACATTTACTCTGAGCTGACTCTTACAAGTTTTAGTACAGTCTCTCCCCATCGTAAGGAGCTCCATCCAGCTCTGGTTGCCTGGTACCCTCGGGCGGGAGCCCCCAGCGGGGCCGGCAGCCGTTGTGGGCGTGGTAGTGTGGGATGCGGTCACATTTATTCTGAACTGACTTTCAAAACCTTTAGTAAAGTCTCTCCCCATCGTAAGGAGCTCCATCCAGCTCTGGTTGCCTGGTACCCTCGGGCGGGAGCCCCCAGCGGGGCCGGCAGCCGTTGTGGGCGTGGTAGCGAGGGATGCGATCGTCGCGCACCATCTCGTACGCCAGCCGAGCTATGGCGCCCTGGTAGTCGCTGAGCCCGGTCTTGTACAGGCAGGGGCGGACGTAGCCCAGTACTGAAACGATAAAAGTATTTTGATTTCTGGAATTCTCATAAAATGAGGCTTTGTAAATTGTTTGGCTGAATCTAGATTAACATTTTATCAAAGTTGTTGAAAACAATGAAAATTGAAAGAAAGACATTACAAAATAGCTCTATGATGCGTTAATGGGCAGATAAAACTACCTATTTGTTCCTTGTTAAAAGTAAGTATTGGCCCTTTTCATGACCAGTTAGTAGATTTTACAGTAGTTACTTAGTTTCTTTTGTCTATCTCATTTAAAATTCATAGAAAATAAGTTTTGCCTAAGTACCAAGTACCTAGCTTCCCTTGCAAATTATTGTCCTAACTTTAACTAATCTGAATATCTGAGCTAGAAAGATAGCGTGATACCACGGTTAACCTTAATCAGTAGTTTATGGGTTTTATTATGAGAACGAAGACAGAATAACTAAAAAGTTGTAACTAAGGTATCACGGCATCAAGCGATGAAGAAAATAATATTATGTTTTGAATAAAGTACATCAACGACTTTTTGTTATTTTATTTTATTTTATTTTATTTTATTCAGAAAACAAACAGCTTACAAATATATAAATTGCATAGATACAGTGTGATACAGTTGCTGAAGTTAACATAAAAAGGAGCCAATCAAAAAAAAAGGATGTCAAATATTTAATAAATAATAAATAAATAAATATCCTTGGACATTTATCCTTTGACACTGCGCCGCTAGCCCCAAACTAAGCAAAGCTTGTACTATGGGTACTAGACAACGGATATAAACATACATAGAAAACACCCAGACGGCAGACCCGTCACAGAAATTAAATTTCCACTTTTTGCCCGGCCGGGAATCGAACCCGGGACCTCACGGCATAGTAGTCCGTTCTGAACCACTACACCAAACGGCCGACAAATTATTTGGACAGTCTATATTTTGATCTAGCATAATTTCTAATAATAAAGACAGCTAATCATGTTAACGAAAGTAGGTATTTGTAAATAGTTTTGCGCGTGCACTACTACACTCACCTCGCGTTAGTCCGGGGAAGCGTGGCAAACAAACATTCTTTAGCTACATCCTTTCATATTATTGAGTACAGTTAATTATTTTACATTACATCATGGCTACAATTACACGTAGGAATATTAAATTAAATTACATTAATAGCACATAGACTATTCACTACAATCTCTTTTACCTACTAAGAGACACTCTACACTCAAACACTTATCAAACCAACGCTTTTTATCAATACTTTTGAATCTCTGTTAGGCCCTAAAAAATTCTTAACCACTGCACTTATCCTTGAAGGACTTACAGAACCTTTATTATGTCGAAATCAGACGACTCTACACTAAGCCGAGATAGGGTTCACTCAAGATAATGAGTGCCACCTACCGTGTCTACGTGAAAATAATACATTCTATGGTATGTATCGTATTATCATAATCATCTAAAAACGTTTCAAAAGTTTATAATAAAGATACGATAAAACCGTCATGTAGTGTTTACCCAGCGCTGCAGCACCCTCTTTAACATAAAGTAGTTAATAATTATGTTTATAGTGCCCTATGTAAACATACAAACTATGTATTACAAACAATATACGCGTTATTATACGCTCCCAGCTTGTTATGATAGGTTAGAATGGAGTTCTAATAATATCATTATACATTTTCTTTGTAAGAACAAGAATAATCTAAATAAAACCTACATAATAAATTAGGTCAGCGTTCTTTGCGGCTCTAATATGGCAGATTGTGGTTGTTTGTTTGTTAAAATACATCTATTACTTTACGATAATCATCCATTCGTAATCTACCACAGCTATAGGAGCAAACTCACGATAGGAGTTACTTACCCACTAAAAAAAGAGCTATTGCACTACTTCTTAGTATTCCTCCTTTTTAACAGCAACAGTACTGTTCCCTCCCCTATGTAACTAGAAAATGAACTAACTTCTCAATCTTCTCTATTAGATCGAACCTAATACTATCCACACTACCAGCACAAAATAGAATACAAATACAATCACCCCTAAGAACTACAAAAATACTAACTTCTCAAATGTCTATTGAATCGGCTCTATTATCCATACTATCATCACAAAATAGATTGCAGTACAATCTATCACCCCTAAGTGCTAGCTCCTCAAATTTATTAGGTCAACCCTACTACCCCCTACTACTATCACAAAACCTACAGTCTACCACCCCTATTTAACTAGTAAAAGAACTAACTCCTCAAATGCGTCGGCAGCGGTTCCAGCGTAGGCTTGTCCATGTCCCGCTCATACAGTTCCTTGGCCACCTTCATGAGCTCGGTGTCCTTGATGGCCAGCTTGGGGTACTGCGGAGCCGGCGCCTCCTCGGTGGGAGCCTTCTCCCCCTTCTCCCCGCATGGTCGCTTCTTTTTCTCCCGAGGCTTGAACGGCCGTGTTTTGAACTCTAGACGCATGGGATTACTTGATCAAGAAAGGTTATCTATATCTATAAAAGCAAAAGATCACTGACTGACTCACTCATCACGAAATCTCAGGAAGCTACACAAGTGCTAGGATTGAGGAGTGCTAGGTGGTCACTAAGACGGGGTTTTGCAAAATTCAACCCCTAAATGGGTAAAACGGGGTTCACTCGTACGAGGTCGCGGGCGGCCGCTTTTGAAGCAGGCCGCTGGATGCAGGCCGCTACCAACCGGACAAAATGGAATATGTTCAGCAGTAGACCTGCTGTGACCGAAATAATGATGACGATTAGTGAACCATGGATGGACACTTGCCTGTAGACAAATGGGCGCAGTAATCGTTGTAGTAGGTGGACTGTCCCCGCAAACTCTTCATCGTCGCTTTGATGAACTTGTCAATCTCCTCCTCGGTCCACGCTTTCTACGAAAATAACACAACAGACACAGTGGATTTCTTTAAAAAATCACTCGTCTTCTGCATACAGTGGTTTCAGCCCAACGACGTCCACTGCTGGAAAAAGATCTCCCCAAGGATTTCCATAATGAACGGTGCTTTTCGTTACAAGCTGATTAATCAGAGTTCCAACTTGTGCACTAAATTAAAATGTAAGATCATCTGCATATGATTCTAATAGAAACCATCTTTTTTTAAAAGCATATTTCGTACATAATTATTATGTAAAAGACAACTTACGTCCTGCGTCCCGACTCGAGGGTCCAGCCATTTCCCATCAAGCTTCGCCCATCTGTTTTCTGGGCGGCACCTGGGAGTGATTTACATTTTATTTACCTACTGTAGACTCTGAACCACTTTGCTGTACCTAAGCACTTAAAAAAATAAAGTTTATGGGTCTTTACTAACATAATGGTCTTCCTGATGGGATGCTGTCGATATTCATCGAAGTATTCCGTTAAAAACGACATCTTGGAACAATAAAACTTTGTAAATTTTGCTAAAATTGAAATCCCGGTTTACCCCGCTTGACTGTTTTGTAAAAAATAAATAGTTAACTTTCACGGGCACGTCATTTTCGTTTGCAATGTCAAACCGAATAGGTTTTTCTACGTCATTAAAAACTTTTTTGATTAAATAAGTAGCAGTAGTTTAGTGCTGTGAGAATCAGATTACGGAGACGACTGGCTTTCTTTGCATTACTTTCTGTCGGTTTATTTCAGTTTCTCGAATAATAAGTTTGCGTTATCGCGGGTTTGCATGTTATACGTGACCTTTGTCAGAGGTATTCAACATTTTTTTACTCAACTGCGCAACGACAAACTAGTGATTTTACTTTACGTTTAAGTTTTACCCAACTTGATCACTACATACCTATGACTACAAGGTTGTATGTTTCCAATATCTCGTCGAAAAAGGACTGTATAATAAATGGGGCTCTACCTCCCAAAAAATGTGTAAGTAATCTCTTTAAGGAACAAATATTTAAGAAAAGTATATAAGGGTAAAGAATTCCTGAGACTTGACTTGCATGGGGATTTTCGACTTTCAATCCAACCCATAATTGCACCCAGCCTTTTAAAAAATCCTTGTGCGACCCTGTTGAAAAGATTGTCTACCCCTGGCAAGTCGTGCCTCGACCGAGACCTTCCAAATACATATATTTTTCCGCAATCGTATGAGCAGATACTGTCAACAGCCTACCCTACGAAGCTTCAATAGCTAAACTTCGGTCTTATTCATCATAATACTATCTTTTGACCGTGGCCCCTCTTGTAGGAATATTTTTTGAAAACTTTCCCATGCAAAACTCGTTCAATGAGACTATAATGCCCGTTTTCACCATCAATCCCTAATTTTTAAGTGACCCCTATGGTAATTGGTAACACTTAACAGGAATTTTGTTTTTATAGGGGCAGTGACCCCTATACCTATACCCCCTTAAACGGGCTTAAGACAAACAGCAGCAAACCAATTATAGTAAACAAGGTCCCGTTGGCACACTTTGGGCACATAACCCTATCTCAAGTCGCTAGTGCGATAAGTAATCAGAAAATAGCATTTTTTGAGATCGTATTTATCGTTAAATCAGTGATTTATTTATAGCACGCACATTAAAAGCAATAAATACTTGTCACAATGCTATCATAATATATGCCTACGACTGTGATGTGAACGAAATTAGCGTCAAATCCTGAGGTCGCGTGACTGCGGGCGGTAAATCACCCGGAGCAATACTTTCAGTGGAACATCTCTGTCGTAAACTTATGTTCGAAGGTCGTCATCGATTAGCTAATGCACTTACTTTGATTTATGTTAATTTTAGGAACAATAAAATTCAATTTTAAGACATAAAAATCTCTGGAAACACACAAGAACTCCAATGTAATGTTACTGACTGATCTAATGAATACAGGGTGTTAGGTACATGGGTTTATAAGCCGACACTAGCCCTAACACATTTGGTAACATATGCATATAAATGGGTATGGTGATGTCAGAAAATTGATATCATCATTTTAATGTTCATAAAATCTGACTTTATAATATTAATTTTGTATGAAAATTTAAAAAAATTAAATGTTGATATCAAATTTCTGACTTCACATACCATTTATATGCAGATGTTAACATGGGCTAGTGTCAGCTTATAAACCCATTTACTTAACACCCTGTATAGAACGTTGAATAAAGTAGATACTGCGTTGTTTATCTTCTACGAGTATTCTGACAACACACATAACTCTATGCTGGCCCGAAGAGACAGCAAAAGCTTTCGTGTTAAACAAACCAGCACATTCTAATACAGGAATAAAACAATACATAATAAATTATAATTATTTATTTACTTCATATGATCATGTCAGTCATTTACACAATGAAATATGAAACAATTTGTTGCTAATGTACAGCATTTTGTATGTAACTACTTTTAATACATTTCACATCAAATAAGTATCATGTTTGTCTTCTACACAACATTTAATTTTTTTACAACACCCTTTTAAATGCTCAATTTTGTTTTTTTTACAACACCCTTTTAAATGCTCAATTTTGTTGTTTAAACTACAGATAGACAAATATAGTCTCTTGGTACAAGAAATTATTCAGGAACAACAACAAAAATTTACAGAGTTATTATGAAGCGTTTAAAATAAAAGCTTTGTGTAACTGATTTAATCTTGAATTAAACAAAACAGATCTTAAAAGTTTAAACTCATACACCCAAACTGTGGCAATACATACAAACATAAATGCAACAAATGTAAGACACTTTGGAAGTTATGTATGTACTAACATTTAAAGTTAATGGTCCTTAACACTACACATAGTGCTCAAACGCACACTTATAAACTAATTTACTTAAAAATGTGCTTGCTCAATTCATTAAGCTAAAATAAGAACTAACTGATATTGGAGAATTATTAAAGAGGTCACAATGATTCTATTAAAATTAGGACAAATAAATCATTAAAACTATTTTTGATTGATAAAAAACTAAGTTGTATAGTTCCAAAGTCCGTTACAAGAAGAATCTCATACTTAATATATTTTACCTATTCTTGTATAATGTGTAACACTAAATTCTTAATCTTCATTTATATTAAATAGATTTCCCTGCGAGAGATAGATTTTATATTTTAAATGTCCTGGCAACACTGAAAAATTGCCATATCTAAAATTAGATATGAATAATGATGATAAAAATCTTTAAAGAAAAATTAAACAAGTATTTGTAAATCGGCATACAAAGTAAAAGGCCAATTCAAAGTGTTGCCAGGATTACATTTTCAGTGCATACAATTAAAACGCAAAATTGTACAGTTACTGTACATTATTTACTCTATTATTTCTAATTTGTCAAAACTTACCCTTGAGACGTCTCCAGCCGCCGAGCCCATGCTGCCGTATCGCAAGCGAGCGCCAACCATATTATACGAACGTTACATAAAGAAGGAAACATAATTCCCACCACATAATTTTAAGCAAGCATTTTTCCTTGAGCAGAAATCATTCCCATTTATTCTAGGGATATACTGAGTACAAACATAAGAACTTATATTAAAAGGTAGCATAATACATTTATTTATACTATAGGACGTTTCATATACAAGCTAGAGTCAAGAAATCCATTCCGCAAAAATGGATTTCACTGAACACAACAGAAAATATGTATCTGTCTATCTACACTTTTTGTTGATAAATGTATGAAGCAATAAATGTTGCAAATATTCTTTTGGACTAACATACATTTTATTTACAATTTGGTCATGTAGAATTTTACGTCAATTGTTATTAAAATAATGAAGAAATCGGCAAACAATGTTATCGCAATATATTGAAATAAAGCCACAAGACATCGCTGCTGACATCCACTGAATTGAAAATAGTGTTTACATACCACCACGTGGGATAGATCAAATTAATAGTATTAATTTCCACTCTTTATTATGCTAAAAAAGCAGTTAATTGCTTTTGTATTGAAAAGAAATGATAATAGCTCAAGATTGCATCAATACATACTACTTTTTCTGTGCTATTTAGTGTATTATGTAATTTTATGAATATCTACTATTGATTAGTTGATGACAGTTGTGGTAATCCTGTTGTGTATAAAAATGATATTGCAAAATTAGGCTTGTTTCAATTTTGTACACTAAAGAGTAAAATAATATACAGATAAAAAAATTGCCACACTGTCAACAGTTTAAGGGATAGCAGAAAGACTGATGTCGCAACATGATACATAATGTTCTAGACCAATAGTAGATTTCATTAAAAATATTAAAATCGTTCGAAAAACATCAATATCCAATTATCAGCTACCACATAAAGTCTAATGCGAATCAAAGTGAAGTAAGCAGAACATGTCACATTAATTGGTGTGCGTGCGCAACCTCATGAAACTTATTCAACATTCATACTTAAGAGTTAAGTAAGCAGAACATCTGTCACATCTTTATGCGCGTGCGCAACTTCATGAAACTTATTCAACACATAGTTCTATAAAACGTCACCTGTACCGTTCAGTCCAGGGGTATACCCTCGGATGCGTCTAGATCAGGTGCAAAAAGATACAGCGCAGCGACGGCAGCGACGGCAGCGAGCGCGGCGATCGCGGCCGGCGATCAGAAGCGCGCTCGGATGTAGACGGCGGCGGCGTCGTGGTTGGCGTAGCCGAGGCGCTTGGCGTGCTTGAAGATCTCGTTGGTGGTCGCCGTCAGCGGCAGCGACTGCTCCAGCGCGTCGCCCAGCCCCAGCGCCAGCTTCAGGTCCTTCTGCATGTGCGACAGCGGCTGGTGCGTCGAGTACATCGACTCGATCATCGCTGCAATTGTACGATTGTTTATATGAGTACACTTTGGCAGTTTTTCTTTTAAAGCAGTGATGGCCAAGAGATCGACCGCAGTCTACCGGTTATCGACGGCGAAGACGATTTTGATAGTCCGCGAGAGTTAAATAAACTGAACAGAATTCACTTGCAGTCGAACCGCAAGAAATATTTTCGAGCATAAGTAGACCTCACAGGTAAAAAGTTTGGCCTCCCCTGCTTTAGAGCCTACGTTAAAACTCGTGCGGAAGCACGCGCGTTGGTCTGATTTGAAAAGTAGTACATATTATGAGCAGCACAGTGTGACGCGAACCCATGCGACGGGTTTCCATTGTGCACGGTAGGGGTGGGCTCACGATGCCACAACGCTAAGCGAGCGCACGCTCATCTAGTCGACAGTGACACGCGAAGTAAGTGTGAGCAAACCCTTAAAGTACACACATATATGCACTATGCGAGCTGTCCTCTCGTTCTTGCAACTACTGTGTAGTAGCCAGAATTTACAGCTTAACCGCCAATATGAGCTGCTAAAGGTCNACGATTTTGGTAGTCCGCAAGAGTTAAATAAACTGAACAGAATTCACTTGCAGTCGAACCGAAAGAAATATTTTAGAGCATAAGTAGACCTCACAGGTAAAAAGTTTGGCCACTCCTATTTTAGAGCCTACGTTAAAACTCGTGCGGAAGCACGCGCGTTGGTCTGATTTGAAAAGTAGTACATATTATGAGCAGTTCAGTGTGGCACGAACCCATGCGACCCATTATGCACGGTAGAAGTGGGCTCACGATGCCACAACGCTAAGCGAGCGCACGCTCATCTAGTGCGGTCGACAGTGACACGCGAAGTAAGTGTAAGCAAACCTCTAAAGTTCACACACGTATGCACTATGCGAGCTACCCTCTCGTTCTCACCGCTGCAACTACTGTGTAGTAGCCAGAATCTACAGCTTGACCGCCGCTAAAGGTCGGCCTGGTTGAGGCCGGCGCGGTCANGAATTTCATAATTTATTGTGTAAGTTAAAAAATAATTGAGATAGATTTTTTTCCTTATTTTTCCTAAAGTAGTCATGACTATGTCCATCCTGTGGCGTCGGCTTATCCTTGAATTTTGGGACACGTTGTATACATAGTTGGTCAGGGAATTTTGAAAAAAATGTCAGGGAAAGTCAGGGAAAAGTCAGGGAATTTTTTCGAACATTTGCAGTGGACACCCTGAGGCAGTACTCGTTCGTTTATAAGCCCACAAAAGGCAAACGAATACTTTAAAAACTACAAACAACTCGAACAATTCGAAGTTGTGAGTACACATGCCTCTAGCCTACATAACGAGGTAATAAATATTGTTTTACCGAGCACTTTTAACAGTGAATTAACGCACAAGTTNATCTTTTGACACCACACCACTCAATAAACGAAAAAAAACTAGTGATGGGCCGACTATGGTCTTTGCCGACTAACCGACTAGCCGACTAATCGGTTTTCAAATTGCCGATTAGTCGGCCGACTAATCGGCAATGCCGATCATTCTAATACCTACTTGTCCGAATAATAATATCTAGATTTCTCAAAGAAATATAAATATCTAGATTTCTAAAGAGATAAATATAACTTCTTGAGAAATGAGATTTCTTTAATATGAGAAAATTTAAAAAGCAACATTACAATCAACTAACAGTACCTACCTAAGGTAGATGTCATATTTTTCGACGGCGCATCCTAGTCCTGCTGGACTAGGATGCGCGCCGTGATATTATTCTTATATCGACGTCAAAATGCATGGGAAAAATTGCGCTTATCGCGGCACGCATCCTAGGCCCACTGAGTCCTCTCCACCCTCCACGGTGATGGTCAGCGAGCTGAGGGCGTCCACCTGTATAGCACGGGCTACCACCACCGTCGGATAGGCCGGGCTAGCCATACAGGTGGGCAATTGCCGGGACGGACTATGATAGTTGATGGCGTTGCCATAGTTCTTGACACTAAGGCGATCTCAGGGGTTGTTTATGTGGGTATTCCTCATCCTTCCGATAAGAGGAGCCCCACATAATCTAACATTATTGCCGATTATAATCGGCATATTTTGCCGAATAGTCGTCACTAGTCGGCCGACTACAAATGATGCCGAATAGTCGGCTTTCCCGACTAGTCGGCGACTAGTCGGCCCATCTCTAAAAAAAACTCATAAAACTCATTTATTTATGCAAGTAAACTTTTAAAAAGCACTTAAACGTCCCAACTACTGCTTCAGAACAATAAATGGGCCAGTGCTGAGAAGAAGCAGCGCAAGAAACTAATTCATTTGAAGGAGCCCTTAGAAGGAGAAATTGGACAAAGCTCGTGTGTTACCACGCGCCGTTACGGATAGTGCCATCCACGCGCCCCACTTTTGGTCGAGGGTAGTGCGGGGAGTTTGATCCAAGCATCAGTCGCGAAAATATTGTAGTGTGCGTGTGCAGTAATGGGTAATTAGCGTATACCGATAACACTCAAACATTAGCGGATGCACACAAACTATTAACGATAAGGACGAATGGTGGAGCGCGCTTTTCGTGGATGGCACTACCTATAGCTGATGAACCGGGGGTATCCGACTGCCCGGGACCGGTCTCTCTGAAAGACTCCAGATGACACTGTCTGATATTGGCTGGTAGACAGCTAGACCGTATCGTGGCCTACATAACCACTCCTAGCCCCCAAACCAGTGAGAGAAAAAAGGGAGTTTGGAAAGCGACAAAAAGAATTATTCAATAAACTGTTCCACACACAACAATATTGTCTCCATGATTCTTTTATCATATGATAAATTAATTCCCAAGCCAGAATAATTATTTCAAGTCCATGTTAACGAACACATCGCAGGCACGGAAGAAATCACTGTTAGATACAAATAAAGAAAATTAGTAAATAAAATAAATAGCAAAGAAACCAGAAACTGAAAAAACATATTTCCATTATGCCTTGTTTTTACTACTTTTCTGTCTTGAGTAAAAATACGTAACGTATGAAAATTTGGGGTTTTTTTTTTTTTCAAGTATTTCATGCCGTCTTGGTGCTATAAGTATTTATCTAATTTGGACGGTCGGATTTGACTGCTGACACTTTTCTCTTACCTCTTACTAATTAATGAAATAAGCTATAAATTATTTAAAAGATTCATTAAAAACTGGTGATTTTACTATTAAAATACACTCACTTATGGATTGAAGATGTGGAAATACATGCAAGTTCTAAAGAAATAACTCACTAGCCTAAAGTGGCACCACCTTAATTTTAACCGTAACTATAACCGGTGTTTTTGTATGCACATTGACACATTTTTGACGTTCGTTATAGTTAATGTAAGTTGGTGCAACTCAGGGTAAGTTTTTACAAAAAAGGGGTGACTAAAGCCTTCAGAAAGAGTGACGATTCATGCATATCACACACACAGAAACATAGCTGTATAAATAGTGCGTTTTTATTTGTTGAAGCCATACCAAAAATGATAACACAGCTTAAAAATGTATGCTTTAGAGTTTAGACATTAAAATGAGTAAGATAATAAAAACAAGATAATAATGAATAGGCTAGTATCCTAAAAAAAATTTTAGTATAAAATAATATTGAAGACGTATATTTTTAATTGTCAATCAAACAAATAATTACAAAGTTATAGTGCGTTGAAGTTCCGCGCGACGTCACAGTGCTGCACTTTTACGCACTCACTGACGTCACGGACTTTTTTTTTAGAACTTTGCCAAGCTTTATCTCTTTACATTTTCATTAGTTTTAAAAAATGAAAAATACGTGTCGAGTAGTTTTTGATAAGTTAAATGACGGACTAATTAAAACTCTTGCTTTTTTACCCACGAAACATCCCTAATGAATCACTGGTTTTGGAATTCTCAACGAAAAAAAACTTCTAACTTCTCATACAGTAAGATGAAATCTAACTGTGAATATGGATGGTACTGTGGAATATATTTGTGGTGGATATCTGTTATTGGCTTTCCATAGTGTTAAGTGTCTAATGTTACATTGAAAACTGTAAGCTGTTGATGTCCCTAATAAATAAATAAATAATTATTTGTCTGTCCCTATAGTCCTTATACTGAATCCTCGACTATATTATCTTAAAATTTGATCTAATGGTATAGCTATTAATTGCCACAGATCGTTATCACTCTAAATTCAACATCATCAAACCAAAAGCAAGTATCGTGCGAGCTATGCTATCGAGTGCAAGTGTCAGCGGGCAAGTTTCCTCGCGCCAGCAACTGGAGAAGCTGACTACTACCAAGGTAAAAGGAGTTCTTGCTCATCGCCTTGAAGCACGACTGGCAGTCGTCGAACAGCGAGCGGTCGCCGGCCGCCAGGATGATCAGCGTGCCCTCCTCCGCTTGTGTCTTCGAGCCTTGGATCTGGGGACAACACAGCAACACTTCAGCAATTTTAGAAGCTACATAACTTAAAAAAAAATGAAACCGACTTCAAATGCGTGAACACAAATAATAACTATTCAACAAAAAAATAATCGTTCAAATTGGTTCATAATCGGCGGAGATATTGCATATAAAAAAGTTCATCCCCAATTTTCCACCCTTGGGGGTGAAATATTTTCTTCAAATTCGCATGAAATCACCCTTTTAATAATACCTATTCAACAAAAAAATAATCGTTCAAATTGGTTTATAATCGGCGGAGATATTGCGTATAAAAAAGTTCATCCCCAATTTTCCACCCTTGGGGGTTGTTTTTTTTATTATTAAATTTAAATGGGACCACCCTTGAGGTATTACCTTACCTATACGCCGAAAAAAGATTTGTTCAAATCGGTTCATAATTGGCGGAGTTATCGCGTAACAAACATAGAAAAAAAAAACATACGGGTCGAATTGAGAACCTCCTCCTTTTTTTGAAGTCGGTTGAAAATCAAAATCAGAGATATATTTTATTCAATTGGTGGCACTTATGAACTGCTACAGAGGTGGAATTGTGTAAAGCAATCGTAATCATTTGATAGTTCATAACGTACGATTATTCTGTCAAACGCTTTGTTTAACTGACTTTATCGTACGTTATGAACTGTCAAATGATTACGATTGCTTTACACAATTCCACCTCTGAGATCATCATCATCAGGGTCATTTAGTCTTCACTATGGGAGCATGACAAACTTTAAAATTTACTCTATCTCAGGACTTCCTAAACTTTTTTTTACTGTGACACCCTTGGGAATTTGCCATTTTTATAGGACGACCCAGGGCGTCGCAACGCACAGTTTGAAAAGCCCTGTAGGTCTATACAAGTGGCACTTTTTGATCTAATTTAAAATCGAATCCATTCACGAAGCGATGTAACTCCATACTAATAACGGCCTTTCGACCGTCTTTTGACTGCAACTGTGATGTTTTGCCACTTGTCTATGGGGGGTTGCTCTATCTATACCTTACGAGCGAAAGTATGGAATCACCCCGTTGTGTTTTGTTCCAAGCCATTTTAAGAACTGAATGACTATGTAGGTATGTATATCATTTTTATTTATCTTCTACTAGCTGACCCGGCTAACTTTGTTCCGCCTTAATGGCAATAAATAAGCAGACTTTTTTTTTATTATTTCGAATGGGATAAAAAGTATCCTATGTCCTTCTCCAGGCTCTAAACTACCTCCCTGACAATTTTCAGCTAAATCGGTTCAGCCGTTCTTGAGTTATAAGTGGAGTAACTAACACGACTTTCTTTTATATAGATTATAGTCATTTAGTTCTTACGATCGCTCGGAACAAGTAGGGTTATTCCATACTTTTGCTCGCGAGTGTAGTTGTGTTTGATGTTTACTAACCTGTGCCTCCAGGTATCTGCCGCCCTTCCCGCTGATGGCCTCGACAATGTCGTGTGAGGTGTCAGCGTCAATCGACGTCATTTCCACGTAGCCCTTCGACTCCAGCGTCGGGCAGTGCAGCACTCCGCAGTTGCCAAACACCATCTGGAAAACAATGCTTTTGTGTTCAACTAAACCGACAAAAAACCAATGGAAAAGTCAAAAGCCATTTAAACTTAATGTAGTGTAGACGGGCTCTCCACCATGCGATACGTATGAAGGAATACGAAGAAATTGCTAGGACATCTTTAAATCGTGATAGGTCTTTATCTACAATGGGGCTCAGGAATTCAGGATCGACGTGCCTTCCGAAACAGTAACTAACCTATGTCACGAGGAATTCCAACAGCAACAGATCATGCACTACTCAAAAATAAATAATGCTTAATCCAAAAAAAGGATGCCTTTGGAAATTCGGTTGAAGCGATCGTACAAAATCCGAGGTAAAATTTTCCTCAATTTTTGCCATCGCACCTGGAATTAGTTATCAATTCAGTGTGTTTATACATGGCGCGGATGGAAATAAAGCGGGCCAGTGCTGGGTACTCGCGTAAAGGTCGCGCAGGTAATAAAGGGCGGCTTCATGTTCTAATGGGCTGACCTTTGCGAGAGTATTTATTATTATGGGTGCCCATCCCAAAGCGCTGATTAAAATGTTTATTTATAAACTTTTTCTGTTTTATCGCATATTTTTGACATATTATCCTCATGTTAACCCATTATAGACTAGCGGTCCCATATGGTACCACTTTTTTGTGTGTTTTAATTTGGCTCAATACATTAACACGTGAAAAGATGCAGTGCTCTGATTGATGCAAATCGTAGCCAATAGATATGGTCTATGCTAATAGGAATAAAAATTGACAGTTATTCTTTTCAGTTGTGTGTAATTGATGATTGATGTGAGCGCATCAAAATTTTCTCTTAAAAATTGACGCGCCATAAAAGTAAGTGATCATATTTTTTTTGTGTGATAGTGAAATACTTATTTTGTTACAATCTTGTATTTTCCATAAGTGCTTTTATTGTGAAATGGTGTAAAATTACGTCGATAGGTAATAATAATGGGAAATATTGTATGTCAAAATTACTGGTACCGTACGGTACCGCTAGCCGCTTACCGTGTCTTTTTAATTATTTTATGATTTTTAGTTTTTACTGTATTTATTGGGAATTATGTGATATATTCAATGGTATATATGGTATACAGGAAGATAAAGTAAAATAGTTTCCTATACTTTACAAAACCATGGGTTTTTATTTATTTTAGATGTAACTTTCACAAACATTGGCAGTTTTGGAGGACGATGAAGGTCCCAAGACGAAGCAGAAATTTATANAGTTTGACAACAAGAGTCACAAAAACAGAAGTGAGAAACAGACTACGAGCTTGTATTAGAAGACGGGGCTCACAGTTTGAGCAGGACTTAAAATAATGTACCTAGATAAAATTAGGTGATACAATTATTATTAAAATACTAAGTTTTTCATTTATTGAGACCCAAGAACAGTTGTTAGTGTGACTTTTTTATTTATTTATTTTTTTATGAAAGTATCTTACTAGACGTTTAAATTCAAATAAAAAAATAATTAAGTAGTTTTTGTTAAACACCTGTACCTTTTTGAATAGCTAATGAATCAAGGAACTAAATTCTGTAATTTGTACACAACATTCCATACATTTTTTCTTGGAAATTCTTCGTTTAATTACCTAAAACATATTTTTTTTGCAAAATAATACATGGTTTTTTAGCTTTTACTTGAGTAATGACGATTCTTTCTTGCAAATTTTAATTTAAAATGTCAATCTTATTATTTAGCTATACGAATACAACAAAAAAGTTAACATAATTCCGTATTCTTCATTACAAGGGTACATTTTAACATAAAAACTGGAGATTTTAAAAAAAATACTTAAATCTTGAATAACTTTGAAATGAACAAGTTTCGGACATGGTGTTATATGACTTAAATGACTGCAAATAAGCTCTACTTTAACCCCTTTCAAGGAATGTATCGCTTTACCTGTCACCCTGTATAAAACAAATAAAATCTTTAGTATACAAAAAATAAGGGGCGTTCATTCCAAACAAACAAAAGGCTATAGAATGTGGATTTAGGTCGGACTCGTGCCTTACAATGAATTATAAAGGATTTGCAAGATTATTGTTCAAATTCTACTACCGTTTTTGAACTTGAAGATAAGTTTTTAAACTGTACGTTCTTGGAAATATATTAAAAGATTTAAAAGCTTTCTGTTGAGGAAACAGATAATTCCAGGAAAATAGGTATACGCATCGAAAAACACTGGCAAATGTCCCGAGACGTCGGCTATCGAATCGCTGCAACTGTTTTGATAGCTCAAGATTTGAAGCGTTTGATGGGCTATTACTTAGAACGTTAACAAATTAAGACATTCCGTGTTCATGATGCTTGCGCACGTAAACACTTAGAACAAGAAACGAAATAATTCGAAATTATGTCGGCCGTTTGGTGTAGTGGTTCAGAACGGACTACTATGCCGATAGGTCCCGGGTTCGATTCCCGGCCGGGCAGAAATTGAAATGATGAATTTTAATTTCTGTGACGGGTCTGGGTGTAAATATGTATAATATGTATGTATTTAATAAAAAAATAATAAAAAAAAAAGTATATAAGTAGTATATCCGTTAAGCTATAGCACCCATAACACAAGCATTAAGTTGCTTACTTTGGGGCTAGCTGGCGCTGTGTGAAATTGTCCAAAGATCAAAAAAAAAAAATTCAATTCTACATAATTATAGAATACATGAAGTATAAATTAAACAAGATTGATTAGAATACTACACAAAGTATAGTAGTGTTAACATTTACATTAAATTAAATGTGCGTCATACAAAACGTCGTTGTATATTTATCTAGTGTTCGAAGCGCATTTTTTAATAACAACAACATTATGAAAAAAATTTACTGATATCTAGGTCATTGCTTCAAAGTTAATAAATGTTTGCCTATATTACGTTTATCGAGTTTTATCTTTGTTCAGTATTTTAGCCAAATGGACGTACGCGATTCTGTGATAAATATGAGCGTGGGCGTCGATCACGTGAGCCGAATTGTCAAACGGAAGCCGGAAAATTCGATGGATTCTAATTTAATTTATATAAATTATATTAAACTACCACATTTATAACTCACTGTAGTAACATTCCAGATTGAATTTTATTATACCTACGCTGAATATCCTTCCTTATGAATATTTCTACACTGTCATGATACCTATTGTTAATGCCAGTTACAGAAACGCTATCAACGGCTGAATACAAAATTATTGGCACAAGGTTTTCACGCTTCAATTACAGCTTGTGTATTGTAAATACATTTTTTCAATTAGGATTTAGTTAGCACGTTTGTTAGATATGAGGTTCACATTATTTTCCTGTTTCCACGACAGTTCCAATACTATAATGATGATTTAATTTAACTTTGTCAATTCCATAGTTTGGTCGATGGTTTTGCTACTGGAATCAGATAATAAGCCATCTGCCTTGAACATTCATACCTGCGAGGGGCGATCAATAGTGCGATCTATTCAAGGAGCATTCGCCAGTTCATTCAGACCGTCTCGAACATTCCAAATAGTGACGCACCGCGGTTATCAACGGTGGAGTCAGTAGACCACGGCTTTTCGAGACGATTGTATAGTGTCGTGTTTAGATTCAATGACCGTTACTGGACCAATGTGAGATAACAGATGTTCCATTAAGCCGTCGTTGTTCGGAAATTCTGGGTCCGATTCCCAGGAATGACACACGTTTTTGAATTTATTCACAATTTGGTTAGGGCTTTGAATTGCAAGGCTTCTTCAAGAAATCTAGTTGTCAATAAAACTGTGCTTCGGAAAACACACTAAAAATTAAAGACTCTACAGATTGAGTTGTTTCAGCCAAATGACGTCCACTGCTGGACAAAGGCCTCCCCCAAGGTTTTCCACAATGAACGGTCCTGCGCTGCCCGCACAGATTGAGTATCATAAATGTTTCTTCCAAAATTACATCAATTCTCACGATGAGGTGTAAAACGCTGGAAGTTTGTTAAAAAGATAAATCGCATAACAGTTACGTCAGAAGATCCCACTCCTGGTGGCATATCATCGGTTTTAATTTTACTTAATGTTTCGTTGAGAAATAATTCATGAATAATTAAACGTGCACCAGCAAGCGATACCAAGATAGAAAATGTCAAAGATCAGAATGTTATAATTAATGTAATCGCCCAGACGAAGCTAATGGAACCCCTGGTGTAATATAACTCGAGTCTGTGCATAATGTTCGCCACTAAACAATAAAGTCTGAATGCGGCTTAGCGGCAGTTCGACTTTGAGCAACTTACGAGGTCATAACAATAATAAACGAAAGACTATTATGTTTATTTATCCTCATACTAAAGGCAGGAAGGCATTGTCAAACCTGTGACATCAAGAGAGTCGATATCTCTCTGAAATGTCTTTGAGGTTTTGGTCTGAAAACGCAATAAATCTTGAATTTTTCGCTATTATTTATTCTCTGGAATAATTTTCCGTTTTTTCCAGAGTTTAATAGTTCTAATTAATATGTATACACTTGTAGTAAACTGTAATTGAAACATAAGACGACGGCTTGCCTAGACCTTCATCTAAAAAACTGGCGCGCCCCCAGGGAGGCGTAGCAACACGCAAAGGGGGGCGAATACGGGCTGTCTGAAATTACCTACCTACCTATCTAGACAAAGATAAATAGCTAGATTAAAGTTAGGCCACCGTAAAGACTGCCAGGGGGCTTGGGAGTTTCTGTTTGCGCAACATCTGTTATGTGGCAAAGTTTGCTCTTTTACTGCATAGCAACTACGACTCGCTAGGCAAGGTAAACAGGCGCACCGGAGACGCTGCAGGATGGCGGTATAAATAGAACGCACCTGACCGATCCAACGACCGGGTAACCCACTCGTATCCCGCCTGGCGTAGTCACTTTGTGACAGAATAGATAGTTAAGCTACCTTCTACATTATCTTAACCCTGTTCAAAGATTGATATCTAACTAATTTATCAGGTAGGACTTACCTGCTCTACTGAACTCTAAAATTATACTGTTTCAAAAAAACAATTATGGGCATATTGACCCCTTGCCCAAATTATTCCGTATATGACGTATGTAGGTAGGTACTAGGTACACGTTAAGTACGAAGATAAGTAATAATTACAAGTATACGGTGCATGAAACAGATGTTTTAATGTACACTCCTATTCGGTAAACAAAAATATTATTCAATTACAAAACTGAAAAACTTACAATGCACTAACGAATTAACATCACAACAAAATATACCGTGGGTTTGCGTCAGTACAAACTACGTACAACCACAGAATAATAATAAATACTTCGTACAGAAGATTTTCTTCGCGAAGGTATTTAAAAAAATGTATGCTCAATGACGTTAACAATATGGTGTAATTTAGCTTGTCTCAAGAGTCGAGCACCATTTTGTTGACGAACGTCAGTGATCGGTACTGCGCCGAAGACATAGGGCTGACTTCGGTAAAATGATGTGTGACGTGAGGTGCCAAACTGCGAAAAATGGCGGAGGAAATACATGAATAAGCATGTATTATATTTTGAGTTTCTAATATTATTCAGGCAGTTAAAAAATACTGCAGAGTATTAATTGCACCACCGTTTTTACATATGGTTTATTGTCTTTACAATGCAAATGGGTGAAGAATACGTGCGTGCGTCAATACTCGCTCGTGATTGTCCTGTCGATTTGGTATCTCAGGAGGGGTAGTCGCGCGTGTTTTGTTTTCGATGCAAACTCGCGGAGATGAACAGGCCTGGTACAACGTACAACAAAGATAGATAAAACCTATGTTTAACAAACTTTGGAAAGAGTGCCACAAGCGAACTGGTGCAGACATGATAAACGCAGATAACCGGAGGCCCTGCACTCCGCAACGGAATCTATTGTTCGACTCTATCATCTCTGTTATTCAGATCGGAGTGCTGGCACGTGTGAGAGAGACGGTAATCTTATCATGTAACAACGTATTTCTGAATAGACCTTTTAAGTGCGAACGCACCGTGACGCCCAAGTAACATAGAGCTGGACGGTGCTTTTCTTATCTGCGAAAACAATGGAACTACGAGAATATTCATAGGAACTAACAGTACCTAAGTAAATCAAAGATCGAAGCTCTGAAAACGTCGAAGTTATCCAGAATAGGAACGCTCGACTTGATCCGAACGACCCACTTCTACTGTAACAATCGCATATAGAAACGAACTTGTACTTATATGGAGGATTGTTCTGTTGCTGATACCATCAAAACAATGGCCGAAGAGATTGTACAACAGCCACTCCACGTCGTAATAAAAGCCACGGCCACTTTCTCGGTTCAATCGTCTAAATGTGAGATCATAATCATGAGCGAAGTCTTTGTGGGCATATAAAGCATGCCTCAGTCTATCCTGCAAATGCAAGAACTGTAATGCACTGGAAAAGTAAAATAGCCCGACCCGCAATGCGTTGCAGATTTAGTTCACCCTCAATAATCTTTTAACTAGCAATAGAAACGTTAATACAAAAACTGAAAATGAGACAGTCGAATTCTATTGAAAGTTCCATTAGGATATGTTTTTGATGGCAGCATCGGCATTATCCTGCGCTATGAGTAACTAAAACATTCTTTATCAGATATTCGCGAACAGAATCAGCGGCAAGTTTATAATTAACTGGGTTAGTGGAAGCACTTAATTGAATTGAAACACTAATGTTAGTCTTACTTCATCGGTTTGTAGAATATGTGCATAATCTTACGTCACACAATCAAAATACACATTTTTTTTGTAATACTTATTTGTGTAATGAAATAAAAATAGGTCATCTAACTCAGCAGTGCCGATTTCTTATTACCGGCCGGTGATATAACATGGCGNTTTTCCAGATTACAGGTAGAATAATTTTTTTAATGCTTGTATAGCATTATGTAGACCATAATTATCAACACATTTCAAAAAAACAAAAATCTGATACTTTAAGAAAACTCAGTCTATAATGGGTTAAATGCGTGTCTGTATGCAACACGTGGTTATTGAAATTGCAAATGATGCTTTAATATCTTAATATTATTTTTCCTCCTTTTAGCGCTAGGTTGTTCTTTTTTATTTTAGTAATTACGTGTTATTATAGCCTGTAATGTTTTGAAAAAAAAAAAGAACCGTATATGACGACAATACAAATTACGAAAATATAGAGGTGTTTTGCCGGTCCAGGCGTAAATTGAGTTTTTTTTTTGGTGTGACGACTGCATCCAGCTGCTATAACCGAGCACGGAACCGCAGTTTCCTGCGTCTGCACCCCGTTCCATTAACAATCTGCACGCGCACGAATCGCGTAACATTTTTAAATATGGATTTGTAATAGTGCGAACATCGCCGAAGGTCGTGTTTTACAGCTTCCCCCAAGTAAACATCGTAAATGTTGCATACCCGCTTTGCGATTCCTTGAACGCCCATGTATCATCGTACTACGAAACTTGGTACTTTCGATATGGATTGATATACCCTTAAACTTTTATGGGTCAACAAATACTGCAGATTTATAGGTCGTCTTGTTTATGCCTAAAATATCTCTTTTATCTTTCAGCTACTGTTTTTTATTTAGATTATATGTTCATGATATTGCATGGAAATTGTGACTCATATTTTAAAAGAGCGATTGATGCATGATGGATTATGATGAGGTAGTATTTCCATGCCAGAGGCGTACAGGTTGTCAAATGACTGACTGCGACTTAGGAACCCCATCAATCAAAATATGTAGTAAAGATCGTATTCGTACGTAAGGGCTGATTTTTCAATCATCGGATAACTTTTAACTGAAGAATAAAATTGTCAAATTGCCAAATTTATTTTTCAGTTAAAAGTTAACCAGCGATTAAAAAATCAGCCCTAAGTCAGATAAATTTTGTTTCTATCACTATCTGAGTCACGCCTATTCAAATCACAGAAATTAAGTGATCCACCACTATTCAATGTGGAGTCACAGAATCTTGAAATGACTTCATTGACTTACAGTCATTGACTTATGACTGATTTAACTACCTTAGCCAACTCAGGGAATCATTAGTGTCCTGCGTCAATATACACACACAGGCCTATTTCTATTTATTTATATTAACCGGCAGACAGTGGTGACTGAGTTTGTTGGGGCACTTCTTATCAGCACTTGCCAAATGTTGGTCTCGAAGCGCTGGTAGGGTAAAAAGATTATGAGACATGTAGAGGCTCCTTAAGAGCAAAATGACGATTTGTAAGCACTATATTTATTAGTCTAAACCAGCGGTTCCCGAAAGGTGATCCGCGGAACCCTGGGGTTCCGTGGAAAGGCCGCAAGGGTTCCGTAAAAAAATATTATCCCACGTTTCGTGACCGACGTTGTTCGCGCGCACCGACTTGTTTACAAATAATTGCATAAAATCTTTATTGTTTTTCATTTAAATTTCCATTTATCAAAGTAGGGTTCCGCTAGGAAAAGTAAAATCAATTAGGGTTCCTTGGCAAAAAAAAATGGGAAACCCTGGTCTAAACAAATAAAAAAATTTTGACTTTGACTTCCATAGAGTCTAAATTCGGAAAGCTAGCTCTCTCATACCTCCTTCGCAGCCTGAGGGTCGGCCACGCACGAGAATGTGATGTCCGCTTCCTCCACGACGTCGCACGGTGTCACGGCGATGGTGGCGCCCACTTTCTCGAAGTCTTTGCACTGTTGACAAAACAATACATTTCGTTAGGGATGAGAAGGAACATCGCTTTACTTAGCTCTATAAACTCCTTAATCGTGCGAGAAATGTAATCAAATAGGTACCTATGTGGTTCAGTAAATTAATCAAGATTAAGAAATTGCCAACGGCAATGCATAAATTGCTGACCTATAAGGGCAGGTGTGAGGGTAACCGTCCACATAATATCATGCTTATTTTAATTTCTAGCATTCCCCTAGGATAAGAACCCGCATACATTCCACCTGCTTGCTTTTATCTTGCAACCCTAATCAGCGCCATCTATTGGCAGCGAGCAGGCGCGTTAGTTCCATTTGTCGCCGCTAGATGCCGCGCAAAGTCCCCGCTCGGTCCGAATCGATGGCGGCCATCCCGCGCCCCACGCGGCGTCAACGACCGCGTTGCAACGCTTGCCAGCCGAGCGCCCGCCATTTTGATAACGGTGTTAATTCCCCACGCTACAAAGGCGACACGGCCGGCACTGTGTCGGCTCTACTGAGTCACACAACGAGCGGTCTATGAACAGAGTGCCGTAGATGGAAAGGACCGGCTCGCGTCTATTGAACAAGCAACCTTTTAGCAAATGCTACAACGCTATTTGGAAAACCGCAATGGCTTTATTCACCTGTAATTCTTAAAGCAGACCTAATTACAGTATGTTTACTGCATGATCTTAATTAAATTCTCTACATTATGTAGAGTGATTGAGATGAAACGTTTTCAGAATTTATTGGTGTTACAGCAATTTCGTTTAGGCATAGCACTGACTGAATAATTACACAAGTATTTAATCAGTTAAAATTACATCTCCAGTAGAAGGAAGTCTATCATAGAGGTTACGTAGAGTCAACTAAGCGTTATAAAAACATAATTTTCTACAAAAAAGCATGAACGTTTGCTTTCGCAGAAATAACTTAAAATATTTACCTAGTCCTAGTCTACCATCACGAACTTAAAGAACACATTTTATAGCATTTCGTGGCAGAAATGATTACCCAAATGAGCGTATATTTTTAACTAGACCACCAGACATTAGACAGACCGTTTATTTTTAAAGGACGACCTCCCAGAGCTGGTTATGTTTAAGTAAATGAAGCTTAATATGATTCATTTAATGTCTCTGTAGTTTTAGGGATACGTGTTTACATTGTGGGGAATCCGGGAAAAGATAATATTGAATGTTGATAGAGAGTGTTATCACATTTTTATAGCACGTCTCATTTTCATTTCCATGTTCGGACCGTGTAACGTTTGGAGAATGTCGTAAAATCAGTCAATATCAACAAGATGCCTTGCGCCTGCGTTGCTAATCCGATCAAACGTGTTTATGACGACGTTTTTGCGACAACTGACGGTCAGCAAGCGTCGAAGGTCAGTTTACACAGATGCCAGCATAACATCCACTCCGCTAGGCCCATTCACAGTTCACACGGTACCCAAACCGGCCGGGGCATTTCGTCTAAAGTGTGTCAAACGTGTGACGAGAAACGAAAAGCCGGCTCGTGTAGACGAGTGCAGTTAATTATCTTTTACACGTAAGCATAACTGCGAGAAAAGTGCTCCCTTTGTTAGAATTCTTATTAAGGTTAATCAAATAAACTGGGAACTGGAAGATTTGGGCTGCGTCAAAACCGATAAAACCAATAGATAACACACCACACCATGTTAGTTTACTGTGCTAAAACTTTATGCGAAACGTTGGCAGTAATGAATACAAAAATATGCTATAGAAAACAGATGACGCATCTAAATTAAATAAACCGCATTGCGAACAAAAACAATGGTAGTACATATCGGTCAGACTCAGACGTCAGTGAGTCGCCTGAAGAGGCGAAGGTTGACGCGTTTACACAGATGCCGTTTGTCCACTGCAATATCTAAGGCGCTATTCGTCCGTCCATCCATCAATTTAACTACAACCACATGAACAGGCTTCACGTGCTGGAAACTAGCAATTTGATGCGATAATAATCTTCCTCCGACAGAAAACATTGTAGCAAACTACACCTCAAACTAGGTATAAGCTGCTAGTAAAGAAAATAGTTCTTGGAAGAATTGCTTAACCCACAGTTTCCTATAAATAGAAATAATTGTATTCAACTCATTATGATACCCTACAATTTACTGCCTTTTGCTAACCTTAACACCTGACTCGTTTAGTTCATCGATCACGGTCGTCTACATAAAAAAATAGAAAATATCTGTTTAGCGAATAATGTGACGAATTTTCTAGGTATGTAGATATGTACCAGATTTGCGTTTTATCAATCAAACAAAATTGAACAGCAAAAAATAATCTCAAGTCGATACAACTTCAGAAAGTCAACTAGAAATCCTGGCTAGCTTTCACTTAGTTAAGTAACTATAGGACGAACAATAGATTTGAGCTGTCCCTGACATAAAAACATCGGTCGACTATAATCGTAATAGGTTTGTGTGAATGGAGTTCACGATAGCCGTCGGTAGAGTTCGCCGGGCCGCCCACGCCAGCTGCTCCTACACCCCGTAACCAGACGTAACGCTGTGACGTCTTTGCACCATATTACGTATGCCATAGACGTTCCGTTAACTTCCCAGAGATAAAAACTTTTAAATCTAGCCTTCAAACTCAAAACAAAGTTGGAAATCTGTTCGCGGTGAAGTTACTGGCGACTCTACCAAGATTTCTGAACAAATTGAAATCGTTTAAGGAGTTAATGCACGATCACAACGAGACGATTACTCGTACATAGCGCTTGACACCGATGGAATGTAGACTGATAATGAGAAAAGTGAAAACTGTCGAGGAGAAATCATACACACTCATTTGACTCCCATTGCATGTTAAACTTAAAACGTTAATCAATTAGTAACTTATTTCAAAATAACAAGCCTTACCACGCAAAAAAGAAGCCTGTTAACAAAAACGTCGTAAATACAATCTACGTAAATTGTTAAAGTCTATTAAAGTTCCGTCGACCTTCGTTCCAAGCGAGCAACGTACCAATAAGTACGTTTGTTCGGCTCATCATCAATCGCGTAATAGTTGCAATGACTTTGAAATCGCAACGTTTCATAAGACAGCAACTAACGGCTCGAGACGGTGCACTACTGTTGCTACTGTACTGCTAAATGGATTAATTGAGTAATATTTTATGTTTACAAGAGGCAGCCCTACTTAGAGCACGCAACTAGAGCATTTCGCAATGATGACATAGCGGAGCGATTGTAAACTAATAACTAGGGCTTGGTGGCAAGGCGGTTAGGTTTAGATTTTATGATAATCTGGAGAAAGATAATTATTTTCTAGACGTGGTTGATACTTCAGTCTTGAATGTTATTGAGTTGTGTCTCATAGTTATTTATAATAGGTAGGTACCACCTGCATAATAAAGAAGAGTATGCGAATAGTCTTGGCTGGTCTCTCATGATCACACACTAAATTACAACTAGAATTCGATAAGGATCAAAGCCATTGAATGCTATTGACAAAATTAAACGTTCGCGCATGTATTTAATAAGCGACCGCCCATTAGAACATTCCTAGAACATTCTATAGAAGCCTCGCCAACAAAGATAAAACGATGAAAGTATGCTCCGTACACAAGAGAATTTGATCGAGTGGGGTTTGGGTGTCGCTCGTTGAGTATTAAACCACCTTAACAAGGATTTAGTTACATCTGGCGCAAATATTTGCATTCTGCGCGGTACTGTCTCTCGTTCACGGAATGATCGGTCGATATCTCGATACTGGCGACTGGAAATCGATAGATAGATGTCCGTTGAACCGTGGGACCATTTATCAGCGGTTGGTGACGCTCATTACTGGACTGGTTAATGAATTAACAGGAAACCTGCTCATTGTTTCACTGACTATCTACAATGAGCCTGTTGTTAGAGCGGAGCACAATGTAGAGGAAATCGATGAGTTTTTGTTCAGTCATCTGAGTACCAACTATGTATTGAATAAAATTACGCTATTCTTAGCTACAGCAGGTTTTCAACAAGTTTTAGCGTCTCATTTGAATAAGATCATGTTTTATTAGCTATTCATAATAATGCTCACATGCATCATGCGTACGTACTAAGTCTAGCTATCGTGTAAAATAACTTTTATAAGTACAAAATTATCAGCGTGACGTATGTGGACTGATAGTGCTCGCCAATATTTTTAGATAACGACTGATACTTTTATTTTTCCCCGTACAGAATTTAACATGTTATTGTCAGTATGTTTGAGGAAATAATAGCTGGGATGTGCAGCGCACGTTGTGTTTGCGATGCGATGAGCCGATGACATAAATAGTTACGCAATCAACTTGTTAAATATTCAAATGTAAACTGATGATAACCAAGATTACTTTCAGTAATAATTACTTTGCACTATAATAAAAACGATAAGCTCATAATATTGCCGCGTAGAAAATTCACGCTAACCCTATACTACCTAACGGAATACGTAAAAAAGTCAATAAAAGGGATGAAGAAGAGGCACCGATAGTATCATGATGAAAATGGGAATCATGTGCTCGCAATGCACTAGACTAGTGTTCGGATAAACATAAAAACCAGCACTTGCATGCACGCGACAGGGCAGGCCCTGCCCCTGGCAGACAACTGAGACGCGACAGAGCGTGACAAAACCTCCAAGAACACACCTGCGCTTTTTGCTCGATCCAAAAAACGAGATGGAAACAATATATAAACGGAATCGTCTCAATATTTCGACCCGTTCTGGATCGGTGCCATGATCAAGAGCGCAAGATGGTATTCATTTATCATTTTCTCCGTCTTCGTCATCATCTTAATTAATTGATGGAGCCGACGCTGTTCTGATGTTTCCCGTCATAACATCATACCCATGTATTTTCAATTTAAAAATGTTTTACCTTGATTACAAATGAAACAGTTCAATATCTATTCCAACAAACACAGAAATCAATATTTAAGAGGAATTATGTATTTAAATATTATTCCGTGTCCCGTAACTCGTAAGTAGAATTCA